AAAAAAAAAAAAAAAAAATGTCTACACTCATACAAGCCACATGTGTAAACAGATAAACTAAGATTCTACACCAAGAAAAAAAAAAGTGTTCTCCCAGGATTTCTCACCAGTTTGCTGCTGCCACCTTGGTCCAAGCAGGAAGTTATCTCCTGTCCATTCAAAAGTAATAGTCCTGTACTTAGTGTCCATGCTTTCATTCTGCGGCAGTCTTCACATAGCCAGAATGATTTTCTAATAGGCAGATCCATTCATGCAAGTCTAAGCTCAAAACTCCCAATAAAGTCCCATCATATGCAGAATAAAATCCAAGGTGTTTCCCATAGTTTATAAGCCCTGCATGGTCCGCCCTTGATGCCTTCTTTGAACACATTCCCTTTCTCTCTGGCTTACACTGGCCAGCTCACTAATCCTGGAACTTGTCGAGCATGCTTCCACCTCAAGGCCTCTCCCCTCTCCACTCCGGCTTTTTTTCCCTCTTTGCTGAGAATGCACTTCTTCTTAAAACAGACCTTATCAAAAAGATCTCTGTTTAAAAGTCACTTTATCAAAATGGCTATCTTTAACCACTTTATTTTAATAGGAATCCTTCCCAACCAGCCTCCTATGCTCCCTTCCTTTAATCGGCTTTATTTCTCTTAGGTGCACCACCCGACATTATGTTACCTATTAATTTGCTTATTGTCTATCTCCTCCACTAGAATGTCTATTGGCACAGAGTTTGTTTCTTCACCACTCAATTTCAAGCACTTTGAATAGTGCCTGCTATGTTGGAAGTACTAAATAAATACTTATGAGATAATTAGGTAAATGAATAAGTAAATGACTTTGGCAAGATATGTTTCAAGTTCTTGTGTAAACACAGTATGGGGGCCACTGCCTGCTCTAAACTATAGAATATTTCCTGAGGGCCAACACCAAAAAAGGATGGCAATGTTGTAATAAAGCAGGTGGAATAAAAGTAGCATATTATTCAGTAATAATACTGATGTTGCTGATGATTAGGCTTGGAGTTCTCCAATTCCCAAAAGCCTTCCCCATTTCTCATCCCACTACCATTTAAAACCCACATCCAGGGGCGCCTAAGGTGGCTCAGTCAGTTGAGCATCCAACTTCGGCCCATGGTTCGTGGGTTCAAGCCCCACATCAGACTCTGTGCTGACAGCTCAGAGCCTGGAGCTTGCTTCAGATTCCGTCTCCCTCTCTTTTTCTCTCTCTGCCCCTACTCTGCTTGTGCTCTCTCTCTCTCTCTTAAAAATAAATAAACAGGGGCACCTGGGTGGCTCAGTCGGTTAAGTGTTCGACTTCTGCCTAGGTCATGATCTCGCCATTCCCAAGTTTGAGCCCTGTGTCGGGCTCTGTGCTGACAGCTCAGAGCCTGGAACCTGTTTCAGATTCTGTATCTCCCTGTCTCTCTCTCTCTCTCTCTCTCTGCCCCTCCCCCACTCTCTCTCTCTCTCTCTCTCTCTCTCTCAAAAATAAAATAAACATTAAAAAAATTTAATAAATAAATGAATATTTAAAATAAATAAAACCCACATCCACCTTACTAAACTTAAAGTTCTTCTACAAATTTGAAATATTTGGCAAACAATGTAAATTATTTTCAGGAGGAAAAGTCAGTTATTTCACACTGTGAGCAACCTCCTTCTCATTAGCTGGTAACCAAACATTGTTTCTTAATATGTAGCCTCATAAAATGGAACAATCATCCTACTTGCTAAAACCACTATTTCCCATTGCCTTAATTTTATCAGTGAAATGAGGCAAGGAGAGACCCTGCCAAATAGACACAGGAATTCTCAAGATATATGAGTGAAGCCTCAGGGTACCAAGGTAGGCTGTGGTCTACGTCACAAGCAGTTTGTTGACTAAAAATAGTGGAAGTACCTAAATTTGAGAATTACTTGTTTTAAAAAATAAACTGGACTGTGGTCAGTGTCATTCATTTACAACATTCACTTCCTTTCTGATACATATTTCTTGAAAAAAAGCTAATGTGTACCGGATCATAAATTTTGCATAACCCCAGTTGACAATCGCGTCATTTAAGTACACTGTTAATGACACTCCTGAAAGTCAACCACAGTGCTTCAAAAACAATTTTTCAAAACACTGCGGTAAGAGTAGCACAGTTGAGAATCCAGGCTACTACGGAATGGAGTCAGGCCAGCCTGGGCTAGATTTCTACTTCTGCCACTTAATTGTTGTGTGATTTTAGGTAAATCCTCTAACTTCTCTGGGCTCCATAACTCCCTATCATCCATAAAATGCAAATAAGAAGATCTACTCTGTAGAGTTGTTATGGGGACTGGGACAATGCGTCAAGTACATCTTGTCCCAGGTAAACACGATTGAAAGATATTCATCAAGTACATCTTTTCCCAAGCAAGAACGATTTTAATTTTTTAAATGTTTTTATTTATTTTTGAGAGAGAGCGAGAGCAAGCAGAGGGAGGAGTGGAGAGAGAGGGGGACAGAGGATCTGAAGTGGGCTCTGTGCTGGGCTCGAACTCACCAACTATGAGATCATGATTTGAGCCCCCCAGGCGACCCTCTATCAGAGCAAGAACAATTAAAGAATGGGAAAGCCACATGCAGCTGACGGAACCATAAAAAGAGCAGAGGGTGGAAAAGTTGTTTGCAAACCTCTGCACACAACAAACCTCTTGTCCTCAACAAGTGGTCTATAAATTGGACAACTATTAAGACACACTCACACACGCATCACATGCCCTAAGAAACATCTTTCTTCGTATCCCAATCAGCCTTAAAAATTATTTAGCCTTTACACTAGCACTAGTAATCCAACCTTACACTTACTTGTACATCTCATTCTCCTCACCCTACATGCTGCATCATTCCCAAATCTGACTCCCTGAGGCCTACAAGCAAAAGAGAAAAACTGAGACATTACTCAATATAGTTAACAGTTGGCAAAACTATTGTCCCCTGAAGTGTCCACACAGTAAAACAGGAATCCCCTGCCTTATGCTTTGTCAGTAACAGGACCTTTCTACACACTCTTCAGTGGACAGCTATGGCAATAGGAAAACCGCCAGTAGAAATACTGTTTGCCCTGTACGAACTTCCGCTTTCCAGAATCATCGACGTGCCTGACTGGCTCCGTCTTATTTCCACCAAGCCCGGAAGCCACCGGTGCTCTCTGCCAACAGAAGGCAAACTGCTTCAGCATTTCCCTGCCACAGACCAGAAGAGGCAAAAGGAAAGTTAGATCTAAACCCGGGGAACAAAGCCCAAGGCTTGGGGGCTGCCAAGCCGTTCCTTGGCCCCTCTCACCACGAGGGGCACGCGGTGCTGGCTCCGGCGGGGCGGCCGCACGCAGTACCTGGATGAGGCCCCGCTGGAACAGGGCGCTGTGCACGCAACCGGGGACCCTCCCCGGCAGCTCCAGCGAGCCGTTCCCGCTGCGGATCCTCCAGCTTCCCCGCAAGCTGAGGCTGCGGGCTGCGGCAGTGGGCCCCGCCCCGCACAGGGCGAGCAGCAGAAGCAGGCGGAGGCGCATACCGCGAGCAGCAGCCGCGATCCCTAAACAGGAGGCCGCGGAAGCACGGGTCCCCTCGGAAGAGGCCGG